GAGTCGGAGAGATCGCCGTCGAGATCGCCGCCAGCCGCCGCCGCACGCGCCTACACGTGCCACCGGAGGATTGCTGCTGCTGAGACTCACAGCGCGCGTGAGAGCGCGTGGACGCTCTGATTCCCGACCGGTCAACGCCGTTGACTTCGCCGTGACGCCAGCTTCCTGGATTGGTCAAGTTTGTTTGATTCTGAGAAGATTTGATTTGCGGTCATCCGTTCGGGCCAGCCAGATCTACATAAATTTTAAGCCGTAAGTTTTCTACATCAAACCTTTAGATTCGCTGCGCATAGGTTTATGTTTGAATGTTTATCCGTGATTTGTGCATATCGAGATCCTCATAGATCCCAACATCATTGACAAGTGCGTATTTCAATCTAAAACATATAGACTATTCAGTTATGAAATTATCTACCTCATGTGAGCCTAGGTCTACGACTTTTCCCCTTTCGGTTTAAAGGTCGCTAATTAAATTAGAAGAGAATTAATCAACTAATCATATGGAATCGACAAACCCTAACTCGACAAATTAACATTCAATTGTTTCCAACTGGAAGATCGAAGTGTCACTCTTCGATTATATCAATCAATCAAACAAGAACTCATCAATTCCTAATCAATTCAACTCACATAAGCATGAACAAATCGAAGCCCGACAATTACACGTTAAAGAAGAATAATCATCCCTTATCCTAGCAATCGGATTTAGCTATGAATGTCAAATTCAACAATCATGATCAATCCTCTCAAATAATCATTATTCATGAATCAAATAAGAGAAGCGAACTTACAATCAATCCATGTTCCAGTCGACTTTGAAATACAAGCTAAACCCTAACTAAGAAGAACAATAAGAAAAATGGAAAATAATGGTGAAAAGAAGAAGAAAATTGAGGAAGAAGAAGAAGAGAGAAGAAGAGAAGGAGAGAGTCGTGAAGTTCTTTTCTCGGACCTCTGATGGGCATCATCCAAGAAGACGTACATAAGGTGCTTGGGCAGCTGCTTAAGCTCGAGTGTGGGCTCAGCTCGGGAATGGCCTTCTCCCACTTCAAAAAGTTCAACTATAGGCTCCTCTTC